AAGTCATGGGTAACTGCTGGATTCTGGTGGTCAGAGGCAAGGCTTTAGGGCTCCAGCGTCCAGGAGAGGGGACAGCATGGGGGCGGGAAGTCCAAGCTGACTGGCTCCCGGGGGTGTCCAGAGAACAGCAGTGCGTCTCACCTGGCTGTGCCTGCCTCACCTGTGACCCTCCTGGGCACTCCCATCTCTGCCCTGGAGAGGCAACTCCGGGCCCCGCCTCCCCCCTCCTGCTGCTCCCGGCTGTCCACATGCTTCTAGGCCCACAGGAGGCTCAGGGCTTGTCTCCCCTGCTTGGTGCCCTGCTGTCCACTTGTCCAGCTGCCTCGGCCTGGATTTGTCCAGTGTGGCTTCTGTCCGCTTGCCCCGTGTCATCGGGTCTGGCCCTGCAGACCTCAGCCCCTTTGACCTCTGTGACCTTGGATCCCGTCCTGGCACCCCGTGCTATGAGCTGCCCCTGGGTGTGGCAGGCGCTGGGTGCTGCCATAGGGGTGAGTGGTGCGCCGGCCCCGATGTGGCACCTCCCTGATCGGCACATCCCTCAGCTGTTTTCCAAGTGCTGTCTGGGTGCTGGGCACAGCTCTGGGCCAGCGAACCCTGGGTGAGCAGGATTCCCTGAAGTTTGGAGGAGGGGGAATGCTGTTCACCCGGGGTGGGTTTTTGGAAGACACCTGGCAGCAGGGAGGCCTTGCACCCCGTCGTCTGGGAGCTGGTCTGGGTCCGTGGCCAATCAGCTGTGTGACTGTGGCCCTTTGTCATCTCTGTGGCCTCAGCTGCCTTGTCTGCACGGCAGTCCTGACAGCAGCAGGAGCCGGGCATCAGGCAGAGGCGCCAGAGGAAGCCACACCCTCGCTGTGGGAGATGCATCCCATACCACGGGGGGGACCCTCAGAGCTAGGGGTCTTCAGATGGCCTCAGGACCTCCACCCACCAGAGGGCAAGGGGAAGAGGCCAGAAGTGTGAGGACCAGTGCCTCTCGCTCAGGCAGACCCCACCCTTGTGGGGTGACCTCCAGCTCCTCTCCCAGGCATCTCCTCTGACCCCGGGTGGGCCGGCCGGAAGCCTGGAGACAGAGCGGGGCTGACACCCTCGGCTGTAGGCCAAGGCGGCGGGGGCTGCCAGCGTTTGCTGACAGAGTCCGGCCTCTCCAGTGCCACACTTGCTCACTGCTGACCTCCCTGGACAGAAGTGACTTAGGCTGGGACGCAGCGGTGACCCTGCAGGCTGCTGGAGAGGGAAGGCTGAGTCCTGGGGTGGAGTCCAGGCGAGGTCTGGTCCTGCCCCCAGGCTTGTTTTGTTGCCACAGCATGTACTGGAGTGCCTCGGACCACACCTGGGGAGGGGCAGTGGCCTCAGGCTGTGGTGTGGGGTCAGGAGGCAGGACCGAGCTGGGTGCGGGCGAGACGCCCTGTCTGGCACTCCTTGGGGTGGCCTCAGAGCCTGGATTCTGTCACTGCTCCTGTGTTCCTCTGGGAGATTGTAAATGAATCCTCTTTGGCAGTGTGGCTCCAAGGCCCCCATATGGCAGCCCGGTGGGGCTGATGGTGGGGTCCGGACCCAGCCAGGCTGAGGCGTGTCATGGAGCAGACCTAGGTTGACTGGGGGTACATATGGGTAGGGGCTGGGGAGTGGGCGGGTGGTGTGGTGTGGCTCGGGCTGGGTGGGCAGGGGGCAGGGTCCACGGCACAGTGGGCGGCAAAAGCATGGTGGCAGGAGCTGGTGAGCTGGTGCCCGCCCCTCCTTCCCCCAGGGTAGCCCAGGCAGGCACCCGGAGGAGGCAGCGGGTGGGGCCCAGGAAGGAAGCCAGGAGTGGAAGGCATCCTGGGCTGACGACCCCTCTTGGCCCTCCCTGGGCTGACGCCGGTGCGTGGTCGGCCCCCCGGGCGTCTGTCTCGGGGCTGCTGGGTTTACGAGCCGCAGGCTGGCTTTAAAAGGCACAGTCACTTCCGAGAATGCAGCAGCCTGCCCGGGCCCCGGAGGTGGAGCAGGCCCCGGAGGTGGGCCTCCCCCTTTGGCAGGGAGAGAGGATGGGGCCGGGATGCTCCTGCCCGCCCAGCCTTGCCTGAGCAGGGCCTGGCCTGAGGTGGGGGCGGTTTCTAGGAAGGCTCTGGTTGGTTCTGGGAGGGCGCCTGAAGGCCAGGGAGGGCTGAGGGGAACGGTGATGGCGGGACGAGTGGGCACACAGCTGACAGGGGATGTTGGGGGGCACCGACCAGGTGGTTCGGACCATGTGTAGAGTTCAGTTTAAGTCTTGTGGGTTTCGCTGGAAAACTGGAGCTGACTCCCCTGTGGTCAACATCCCCCAGCCCACCTAGCGCCCCAGGCTTGTCCCATGCAGGCCTGGCTCTGGCCACCCGGCAGCCTCCACACCACCACCTGCCTGAGGGGAGCCGCGCAGGCTGAAGCACAGGAGCTGCGTGACCTGCAACGGGTTTCTGAACCTCCCTGAACTTAGAGCCACCTGACTAGGGAGCTAGGGCAGGGCTGCTCCCTTCTGCCCCTCAGGCCCACTGGCAGCTGCACCCCCAATCCCCTTCACCCTTTGTCCATCCCAGTCCTCTTGGGCCCTTTTGCCTACAGAGTGAGCCTCTAGCCTCCAGGTGCTTTACATGTCCTTGCCTCCCTGCCTGAGGCCCTTCCCATGCCAGCTACCCCTGCACACTCTGACCCCGGGTCTTCCTCCCTCTCTTCCTCTTAGCAGGCACCCCGAGGGTGTGCGCCCAGCCCAGCCCCTCCACTGCAGGCAGGCGGCCCGACCTGCACTGGCTGGGGCTTTGGCTGGTGATGTGAGCCACCTGCACTGGCTGGGGCATTGGCTGGTGATGTGAGCCACCTGCACTGGCTGGGGCTTTGGCTGGTGATGTGAGCCACCTGCACTGGCTGGGGCATTGGCTGGTGATGTGAGCCACCTGCACTGGCTGGGGCATTGGCTGGTGATGTGAGCCACCTGACGGCCGCAGGGCAGGGCTCCATGGGGGTCTCCAAGTCTCCAGCCCCAGGAGCCGCCCATGAAGGCAGGGGCCAACAAATGTTTTCTGACTGTTTTCATTTAGGGCTTCAAAGTTCCCACTCAGGACTTTGGAATAACTCATTTCCAAAGTGGTAGAACTCATTTTCCTCCCCATTTAAAAGTCGGCAATAGTTTTTTCTTCTTTGAATTTGAATTGTATTTCTATAACTACATATGTAATTTTATATAATTCTTCTAATTATAGTTTTACTATAAGAAAAATTTAAATGGCCGGGTGCAGTGACTCACGCCTGTAATCCCAGCACTTTGGGAGGCCGAGGTGGTTGGATCACCTGAGATAAGGAGTTCGAGACCAGCCTGACCAAAAAGAAGAAACCCTGTCTCTAATAAAAATACAGAATTAGCTGGGCGTTGTGGCACATGCCTGTAATCTCAGCTACTCAGGAGGCTGAGACAGGAGAATCGCTTGAACCTGGGAGGCAGAGGTTGTGGCGAGCTGAGATTGTACCACTGCTCTCCAGCCTGGGTGACAGAGGCAGACCCCTATTCTTTCTTTCTTTTTTCTTTTTTCTTTTTTTTTTTTTTGCGACGGAGTTTCACTTGTCGCCCAGGCTGGAGGTGCAGTGGTGCAATCTTGGCTCACTGCAACCTCCATCTCTTGGGTTCAAGCAATTTTCCTGCCTTAGCCTCTCAAGTAGCTGGGATTACAGGCGTGTGCCACCACGCCTGGCTAATTTTTGTATTATTAGGAGAGACACAGAGTTTCACCATGTCAGCCAAGCTGGTCTCGAACTCCCGACCTCAGGTGATCCACCTGCCTCGGCCTCCCAAAGTGCTGGGATCATAGTCATGAGCCACCGCGGCCAGCCAAAGAGACCCTATTAAAAAAAAAAAATTGCTGGGTGCGGGGGTTCATGCCCGGCCTGCCTTCTATGGCCGACCACCACATTTATGTAACCATTTATCTGTTGAAGGATACTTGGGTTCTTTCCACCTTTTGGCAATTGTGAATTGGCTGCTGTGAACGTCTGTGACTATTTGTTGGAGCTGATTTTTGTTTTCATAAAAGATCCAGGTTTGCTGCTGTATGAGGGACTGGAGAGCAGTGCTTCATCTTTGCATGTGCAGTGTCCTCAGGCTGACTCCCTCCAGGGATCACTGCTGGGCGGCATGTTTTGTGGCCATTCAGATACTGCCAGTGCCCTCCAGCTGGGCTTCCCACCAAGGTTCACAAGGCTTTGCAGTTGCCTGAGTCCTCACACTGCCATTTAAAAGCATTTATTTATTTATCTAGAGACGGGGTCTCGCTCTGTCGCTCAGGCTGGAGTGCCGTGGTGCAATCTTGGCTCACTGCAACCTCCGCCTCCCCGGGTTCAAGCGATTCTCCTGCTTCAGCCTCCTGAGTAGCTGGGATTACAGGTGCCGCCACCACGCCCAGCTAATTTTTTTGTGTATCTTTTGTAGAGACGGTGTTTCACCGTGTTGGTCAGGCTGGTCTTGAACTCCTGACTTTGTGATCTGCCCGCCTCGGCCTCCCAGAGTGCTGGGATTACAGGCGTGAGCCACCGTGCCTCGCCTACAAGCTTTTAATGCAATAGATCACATCTTGTTTTAATTTGCCTTTCTTTGGTTATGAATGAAGGTGAACATGTTTTGTGTTTCTGATTTATAATTTTTTTGGGTGAATCAGCTGTTCCAGTTCTGTGCTTGTAGTTCTTTTGAAAGCCTCTCTTTTCTCGCTAATATATAAAATGTCTGTCCGTGTTGAGGCGTTGTGTCCTGCCTTTTGTTCTTTCCCCCGCTGTCACCATCTTTTGTCTTCTCTTTCAAGGCGGCTTCCATCTCAGTTCAGCCTCAGCAGGTTAGGGGTCTGGGGAAGGCGGTTTCTCCGCAGGCCTCAGCTTCTTTATATGTAAAATCTGGATGCCAGGCCTGCTGCGGGAACAGGCTGCCGCGGGGTGCTGACTGTGAGGTCACTGGCTGCTCACTGGCTGCTGCCCTCAGTTCCCTTGCCTCACCCTGCATTGTAGCTGCGGCCTCCTCCACAGACGTGGGCTGGGCAGGTATGCAGTGGAGTCCGAGAAACCTGCCTGCCCGAGAACTGCCTGAGAGGGTGGACAGGCGGCCAGCTGGCCAGGTGTCCTGTAGGGGAGCGGTCCCCCTTGGGAGGGTCCCTGGTCATTAGCTGGACAGCAAGCACAACAGCAGCTCAGAGAGGCCCAGCCCCTTCCTTCAGTGCTCCCGTGGGCGGAATTCAAGTTCTGGTCTTGACCATCTCTCTCCCTGCAGGCATCACGTGGGGCAAGGTGGTGTCCCTGTATGCGGTGGCCGCGGGGCTGGCCGTGGACTGTGTGAGGCAGGCCCAGCCTGCCATGGTCCACGCCCTCGTGGACTGCCTGGGGGAGTTTGTGCGCAAGACCCTGGCAACCTGGCTGCGGAGACGCGGCGGATGGGTGAGCGCCTGAGCGCCCGTGGGGTTGGGAGAGCTGGGGTGCCAGGGTGCAGAGGTATGGGAGGGAGTGGCGCGTGGGTGATCACCTGAGCACTGCTGGGGGAGACGGGCGAGGCAGGGAGTGCGGCAAAGGCCGAGACCTACAGGCAGGCCCTGGGCTCTCTCCTCTGCCGGGATCCAGCACTGACTTACCCCCTGACCCTACCCCTGTACTAAAGACCTGCTGCCCCCAGCCCCTGCCCACCCGAGTGGGAAAAGCAAGGTCCCGAGGGGTGGGTATCAGAGCCAAACCCTTCATCTGTCTCCATGCCCCCAGCTTCCCGCCCTGCCCTGTCCAGACCGCAGGTGCTGCTGGGGCCTGGGTATGGAGGGCGGCTCCCCTGCCCAGAGTCCAGCGTTCTTTCCTGCACAGTGGGTGTTGGGCCCGGTGTGTAAATCAGTGGCCAGGGATGACAGGGCTCAGACCCCTCTGCTGGGGTCTTTGGTTCGACATCTCGAGAGATTGAAGTCAAGTGGTCTGTGGGAGCTGTGGTCTCCCGAAGGCTGAATTGGGGGTGGGGGAGGACACTGTCCTAAGATGACACACGGCTACAGGCATCCCTCAGCACAGAAACCCCAAGACTTTCGTCCCCCCCTGCTTTCCTCCTGTGGAGTCTGGCATGGGGCTGGGCACTGTGTGCCCTGTGGGCGAGGACACTTTGAGCAACGCCAAGGCCACAGGTCCAGGCTGCAGGGAAAAGACGTCATTTATTAGCAGGAAGTGAAGGGAGTAAGAGAATTGGAGTGGACGTTCATTCACTCATCCAGGAGGAACTTCAGAGTCCAGGGAGTCCTTGGGCTTCTGGAAGCGCAGTTCCTGCTGTTGTTCCAGGCAGAGTCTGAATGAAGCTGGGTTTGCCTCTTCCTGGCAGCCCAGGCTCCGAGGCCCCACAGGAGGACGCTGGGGTACTTGTAGCCCCTGGGGCGCAGCAGGCAGGTGGTTGAGGGGAGCTGGCACCCTGGTCTGGATGTCCGGAGCCCCAGCAAGGGCCACGAAGGCCTCTCTCCTGCTTGGCAGGGGCCCTCCGGCCGGCCTGGCCTGGCTGCCCTCTGTCTCCACCTCCGGTGCCTCCTGGCCCTTCACGCTGGCTCGGTGTCGGGTCTGGTCTTGTGCTGGAGACTTCAGTCCAGGCCGCAGACCTCCTTCCCGAACAGTCTCCTGCATTCCCTCACACAATTTGCTGATATTCTGGTGCACAGTGCTAGGGGGCCTGGTGGTGCTGGGGGCCTGGCAGTTTCGGGGGGCCTGGTGGTGCGGGGGGTCTGGCGGTGTTGGCTCTGCTCTCTCACGTTCTCCTTCTTCCCTCCCAGACTGATGTCCTCAAGTGTGTGGTCAGCACAGACCCTGGCCTCCGCTCCCACTGGCTGGTAGCCGCACTCTGCAGCTTCGGCCGCTTCCTGAAGGCTGCCTTCTTCGTGCTGCTGCCAGAGAGATGAGCTGCCCACCTGGGCAGTGGCCGCAGCCTGGCCCCCTGGGCCTGACGCAGGAGGCCCTCAGCACCCGAACACATCTCCCTCCTCCCAACCCGAGCCTGGAGCACTCTAACCCTTGGAGACCCCCTAAGCCCCGTTCCTCCAGAGACCGAGGCCCTCCAGAAGGGGTGAGCGGGGATAGGCTTGCCTGAGCCTGGAGCTGGGCTTTGGGGCAGCCTGCGACCCTCCCCGCTTGTGCCCCTTCTCCTGGCATCTCTGTGTCTTCCCTTTTCTTTCTGGGGCCAGGAAGTCAGCGTCAACTCCCAGGCCCCAGATGCAGGGGCCCGGAAACACTTGCTCTCCCCTGAGCCCCAAATGCAGGGGCCTGGGAACACCGTGCTGTCACCTGAGCCTGGGGGTCCCATCCCAGGAAGAGGGGCTGTCTCAGGACCTGAGTCCTCAGGGGCCCCGCACATTCAATCTGAAGGTGACCCTGGCCTGGCTGAAGCTGGAAGAGCCGTGGGGACGCAGCCAGTCAACAGAGCGTAAGGCTCACGTGCTGGTTGCTTAATCCGTTTCTGGAGGAAGAGTATGACCCCCACCTGTGATGGGGTCCTTGTGTGGTGGGAACCGGGGCCAGTGGGCTCCAGACCGCATGCTTAACCCGTGGACGTGGAACCTGCAGCGGAGAAGGAAGGTCGCATGAGCTAGATCCCGCTTAACCCGTGGATGTGGAACCTGCGGCAGAGAAGGAAGGTCGCATGAGTCAGATCCCAGTCCAGTTTCATGTCAGTGGAGGGTGAGGGTGACCCCATCTGCTATTTTTGTGCCCATCCTCAGACAGCCATTTGGGGATGTGCCTATTAGGGCTCCCTAAGAACTCAGATGCCCAGGAAGCCCAGCCCCTCAGGACGTACCCACACGCAGCCTTCCCTTGACGCCTACGTTTCTGGGCACATGAGGCATCTTTCCTGGAACCCCGAGCCAGCCCTGTCCCGTCCCGCCCCAACGCAGCATGGCACTCAGGAGATACAGGCTGGATGTGGGCGGTCCTTCTGGGGAGGCCTGGCCTAGCAGCCTGCCCTCCGCACGCCGCCCACCTGAGCCCTCCCTGCCAGGCTTCATGCTGGGGTGGGCCACATGCCAGGACAAGAGGACCCCAGCAGAAAGCCAGCCCCGGACTCACATGGCATTCAGATCCCACTGGGGGGTTGGGGTGGTAATAAACTTCTCCAAATGATCATTCTCATTTTACACAGAATGTCACTCGCGTGTGTTAAAATGGCTTCTACCTACATACAACATGGTAAAAGGTGTGGAACGTTTGCTTGAAAATAATTGGGGGTGGGGGAGTGGTGAGAGGGTGGGGATGGGAGGGTTCCTGGAATTGGTTCTTTATCCTGATTAGATGTAAAGGCACTAATGCTGATTTCTAGTAGTAAAAAGAGCACCAATAGTCCATCGTGTGATGTACCAACAGAGAGATGCATAGTATCACCACTGGGTGCTGCTCATTAAATACTTGCAGAAGGCAGGGTTCTGGTTCTGGTGGCTTTTGTTTTGAACACTTTCGTCAAACTAGAGTATAATGGGCCAGGTGCAGTAGCTCACACCTGTAATCCCAGTACTTTGGGAGGCAGGAGGATGGCTTGAGGCCAGAAGTTCGAGACCAGCCTAGGCAATATAACAAGATCCCGTCTCTACAAAAATAAAATTAGTCAAGCACGGTGGCCTGCACCTGTGGTCCCAGTTATTCTGGAGGCTGACGGGGGAGGATTGGTTGAATCTGAGAGATTGAGGCTGCAGTTAGCTGTGATTGTACCACTGTACTCCAGCCTGGGTAACATAGTGAGACCCTGTCTCAAAACAAAAACAAAAACAAAAACAGGTGTGGTGGCTGACGCCGGTAATCCCAGCACTTTGGGAGGCCCGAGCAGGTGGATCACCTGAGGTCAGGAGTTCAAGACCAGCCTGGCCAACATGGCAAAACCCCAACTCTACTAAAAATACAAAAATTAGCCAGGTGTGGTGGCAGGCACCTGTAATCCCAGCTACTCGGGAGGCTAAGGCAGGAGAATTACTTGAACCCGGGAGGCAGAGCTTGCCGTGAGCCGGGATTGCCCCACTGCCCTCCAGCCTGAACAGAGTGAGACTCCATCTCAAAAAAGTATGATGGGAGTGAGCTCAGGATTCAGATTCCCAGCTGAAGTGTCACCTGAATAATCTGCAAGTTATGACTATCCCAAGAAAGACTCTTAACTCCTTTAGCTGCGGGTCTGAGACTACTGAAAAACCCAGAATCTTGTCCTTCCAGTGGCTGCATTATAGCACATGTGGAACTCCCAGCCTCACGGTGTCTGCTGTGCAAGTGAAGGCATTGGTTGGCAAGGAATGGGATCCTGTCAGCTGGAGCTGGGATGAGGATGTGTGGGGCGACCCTGATGAACAGTGGAGACCCTGAACCCCTAAATCCTGATGAGTCTTCAACAGTGGAAGAGGCCCCCCTAACCCTAGTGGTAGCTTCCCCAACTCCATCTGAGCGGTTAACCCTGTGTTGTCTGAGGAAATGGGACGGCCCTGAGGCTGCTGACTAGCAAGACCAGGCTGCTGCTCCCCAGGACCTGCCCCCACCCCTTTTTGCTTCTAGACATGGAACTAGACTGATGTGGGGCAGGCCCTAGAGCTGAGATACAGGGCGTGAGCATGAGGAGATGCACTTACCCAAGAGGATGTGAGTTTTCCAGTTTACACAGAAACCCCAGGAACGTGGGAATGCATATTGAGGGCCTGGGAGAATGGCAGGAGGAACACAGAGTTGGATCAGGCCAAATTTATTGGTACGGGCTCACTAAGCAGAGAGCCTGCATTTAGAAAGGGCTCTGATTGGTTGGTTGGCTGCTTGGCTGAAACATGGGCCAAAACATGGCCCACCATGGGATAACTGGACATGCCTGGTCACCCATGGTTAGTGTGGAAGGGATTCAAAGGCTTAGGGAGATTGGAATGCTAGAGTGGGTTTGTCCTCCCCATGCTGCCCTCGTTCCCCTGCTAGAGTGGATTTGTTCTCCCTATTCTCCTCTTCCTCCTCTGCAGCCCTCCACCACCCTCCCCCTACAACCCTCCTCCTCTTCCAGTCCTCCACCCTCCCCCTCCCCTGCAACTCTCCACCACTCTCCTCCTCCCACTGCAGTTCTCTTTTCTTTGTAGCTCTCCTCCTCCTCCCCAGCCAGCTCTTCTCTTCCCCTTCACCCACAATACTCCTCCTCCTCCCCTTGCAACCTTCCTCCCTCTCCTCCGCCCCCTGCAGTCCTCCACCCTCCTCCCCTGCAGCGCTACTCCTCTTTTCTTTGTAGCCCTCCTCCTTATCCAGCCCTCCACCCTCCTACCCTCCCTTGGCAGCCCTACTCCCTCCCCTCCCTCCTCCTCCTCCTCTACTTCTCTCCCTCATCTTCCCTCAGGACCCAGCCCTAATGCCAGTACCCCAAGCCTCCGCTGACCCTCAGCAGGGAGGCTCCCGACTGGGTGCACGGGGCAGTGCCCAGGAACTCTGGTTCAGGCCTGCCGCAGGGCTCGTTTGCCTCTTCAGTGGTGGCTCTTAGGTGCTGCGGTTCCGTGGCTGAGGAGCCACACAGGAAGGCCCACTACCTGTGTCCCTCGCTTTGTGCATCTGCTTCTCCGGAACAGGACCCCTGAGGCCAGGCCTGGTGGACCACCCTGCTTCCCATGCGGCCTTGCACAGGCCTTCCTGTGGACACTGCACACAGGTGACTGAACCTGATAGGACAAAACCTGAAGAGTGAGATGTCTCTAAAATCTCCACGTGGGCCGACCACGACCCTCCTGGTGGAGGCTGTCTTCTGCTACCGTGTGCCACGCCAGAGCTCCCCTACCCTGGGAACAAATGCCAGGGTGCCCTGCAGCCCAGTTCTCCTCAGTCCCCTCATCCGTCCAGAGAACAAACGCCAGGGGGCCTTACGACCCGGCTCTCCTCAGTCCCCTGATCCGTCCAGCCCATTTTCATTCCTCTCACTTTGGCCTCCTGTGTGTCCGACTGTGCCTCTGGGCCAGACTCATTGCAGGGCTACGGGCCTGGGCAGGCCCCACCTTCCTGCTTTCTGATGCAGCGATATTCTTCCCTTTTTAGGACCTTGCTCTGTCACCCAGGCTGGAGTGCAGTGGCGCAGTCTCGCCTCTCTGCAACCTCTGCCCCCCAGGTTCAAGTGATTCTTGTGCCTCAGTCTCCTGAGTAGCTGGGATTACAGGTGCCCACCACCACGCCCGGCTAATTTTTCTATTTTTCATAGAGATGGGGTTTTGCCACGTTGGCCAGGCTGGTCTCGAAATCCTGACCTCAAGGGATCCACCCACCTTGGCCTCCCAAAGTGCTAGGATTACAGGTGTGAACCACTGCGCCCGGCTGACATTCTCCTCTTAAAGCCTGATGCCAGCTCAGGCCACAGACATTAGCCCTTCTGACAAAGCTGGAGGGCAAGGCCTCCTCGCACGCCCCATCCTCTCCTCGCCCCTCCAGGGGGCCCTCCCCCGAGCGTCTCCTTTGAAGCCCTGCCCCCTCTATCACGCACCCCCCCCAACCCACACAGTCTCCAGAAACATGAAGGGAGGACCCCTGGGGTGGTCTGGCAACGCCTGCCTGGTGGACAGCAGATGGGAGAGAAGGAAAGTGGCCGGTGGGAGAAGGGGCAGAGGAAAGGGGAGGAGGAAGGAGGAACAGTGAAGCCCACGCTCAAGGTGCCCCTCCTGCCCAGGCTTCCTGCCAGATGCTTCTTGGATCAGATACTTTGTTATATTTCCAGCACAAGAAAGTGATGTTGCAAACACTAGGAGAATTCAGAGAAACAGCAGGATTTAAAGTAGCACACAGAGATCTTTGTGTATACTTTCAGTTAAAAGACAGAATGGAAGAGATGACCCATTTTTAACAGCAACAAAAAGATAAAAATCCTCATGCATGAAAGAAATGTGAAATCCTAAATGGGAAAAACTTTAAATATGCCATAAAGACACCAAAGTAGATTTCAACAATACCATGGTTTGAACCATTCCCCAAAAGTTCATGCGTTGGAAACCTGGACTCCAATGCAGCAGTGCTGGGATGGGATTCTGGGGAGGTGACTGGCTCATGAGGAGTAATCCATTCATGGACTAATGGGTTCTCAGGGAGTGGAGCAGTTATCACCAGGGGGCTGGTTATAAAAGCCAGCTTTGCCGTCTCTCATAAGACCCTCACATAATGCCTGGCATCACCTCGAGGCTGCAGAGTCCTGACCAGCAAGAAGGTCCTCACCAGATGCAACTCCTATACCTTAGCTCCCTGCCTCCAGAACTGTAAGAAATAAAATTCTTTTCTTTATAACTTACCCAGTCTGTGGTATTCAGTCAGAGCAACAGAAAA